GAAAACAGCACAGAAAATCAAATGAAAGCTTAGTTATTTAAAAAGTTTTTTCAATGATAAGCAGAAAAAAGTCACAAATTATCAATATCAGAAATGCAAGAGGGGAAACTACTGACACAACAGACATTCAACAGATAATAAAACAACATGGGCTACTATAACAAATTAGGCTGGCTTAAATAAAAAATATTTATTTTTCTCGGATTGAGAGGCTGGAAGTCTCAGAATAGGGTGCCAATACAGTTGCATTCTTGTGTGACCTCTTTGGGTTATAGACTATTCTTGAAATAGACTCACATGGTGGAAGGTAAGCTAGCTAGCTGTGGTATCTTCTTGTGAGGGCATTTTAATCTATCTTTTTTAACCAGAAAAGCAAATAACTAACTGTATTTGAACACTCTAGAAAGAGCATTCTTGTGTGACCTCTTTGGGTTATAGACTATTCTTGAAATAGACTCACATGGTGGAAGGTAAGCTAGCTAGCTGTGGTATCTTCTTGTGAGGGCATTTTAATCTATCTTTTTTAACCAGAAAAGCAAATAACTAACTGTATTTGAACACTCTAGAAAGAAGCGGTAGGAGAACATGGACTGTAACCCGAGGGAGTTTTTTGGATTCTTAGAACTTTATTCCTTTGTTTTAGAACACTGATATCATATTATTTGATTCAGTAATTCAAATCCTTAAATGTTTTCTTTTATCTGGGCTCTCAGGCGAGACTTTAATGTTCTTATTATCTGAATTCAAACCTGAATGATAACAGAACATGAAATCTAAATTATTTTACTTTGATGGACTAACAATTTTACCATCTATTATAACAATTTTTCTAAGTTTTATACTTAGAGACAGCTTACTTAGCCAGTCAATATGCTCTAATCTTTTACATATATTGACTGGGAGATATGCTTGATCTAAATTATGTCAATCTTTATGTAAAGCCATTTGTTTATATGGCTTCACAACAAAAACTTTCAATAAGTGTATATCACTTTTTTTTTTACTGAGTTGAAGTCTCACTCATTCGCCCAGACTGGAGTGCAGTGGCTACTCCCAGTGACAACAGCCTTGACCTGCTGGGCTCCGGCGATCCTTCCACCTCAGCCTTCCAAGTAGCCGGAACTACAGGCATGCGCTACCAAGTATGGATGGTTTTTTGATTTATTGTAGAGATGAGGTCTTGTTGCCCAAGTGGGTCTTGAACAGGAGGGCTCAGGCAATCTACTCACTTCAACCTCCCTAGGCATGGGATTACAGGCTGAGCCACCAAGCCGAGCTAGTGCATATCACTTCTAATAATTAAGATGATTTTATATTTTCTTCTAGGAATTATATTGAATACTATATTTTTTTTAATTTCTGGAATCATTTATTAGTACAGACAAAGACTAAGATGCATATGAAAAGATGTTTGACATCATTAGTGACAAAGAAACTGTTATGGACTGTGTCCCATCCCCAAATTCATATGTTGAAGAACTAACCTCCAGTAATACTGTATTTGGAGACAAGGCCTTTAGGACATAATCCAGGTTAAAGTGAGGCCATAAGGATGAGGCCTTAATCCAGTAGCACTGGTGTCCTTACAAGAAAGGGAACAAACACCAGGGTGTTCTCTCTCTTCCCCAGTGGCTACGCACAGAGGAATGGTCATGTGAGAACACAGCAAGAAAAGTGGCTTTCAGCAAACCAGGAAAGAGAGGCCTCACCAGAAACCAACTTACTGGCATCCTGATCTTGGACTTTCAGCCTCCAGAACTGAGAGAGTTTCTGTTGTTTAATCCACTCAATCTGTGGTATTTTATTATGACAGCCCTAGCTGCCTAATAAAGAAAAACAAATCAAACTCACAAGGAAATGCCACTTCACATCCACCAGGATGGCTGGAATCAAACAAATGTTGGTAAGAATATAGAAAAATCAGAATCCCTCTGGGCTGTTGTTAGGAATGGAAAATGGTGATGTCACTTAGAAAAACAGCCTGGCAGTTCCTTAATCAGATAAACGGAAGTACCACACAACCCAGAATTTCATGCCTAGGCATAAAAACATATGTCCATGCAAAAACTTGTAAATGAATGTTAATATCAGCATTATCCATAATAGCCAAAAGGTGGTAGTCCAAGTATCTACTGACTGATGAATGGAAACACAGGCAGTATATCCAAACAATGAAATAGTATCTGGTCATAAAAAGGATGAAACACTGATATATGCTATAACATGAACCTTTTAAACATTAAGTGAAGCAAAAGACGCCAATCACAAGTGACCACATACTATATGATTCAATTTATACAAAATGTCCAGAATAGGCAGATCTGCAGAGACACAAGTAGATTAATGTCTACTTAGAGCTGGAGCAGTCAGGGGTATAAAAGAGTGACAACTAAAGGGTACAGATTTCTTTTTGAGGTGATGACGTTTGTACATAAAGTCGTCACTTAGAGGATTGGATCTAGGACTCCTTTGAATACCAAAATCTATGGATGCCCAAGTCCTTGATATAAAATGGCACAGTATTTACATATAACCTATGCAAATCCTCTGGTATTTTTTAAATGGTCTCCATATTACTTACTAGCCTCATAAAACAGAGACAGTAGACAGTTGTATACTATATTGTTTAGGGAATAATGACAAAAAAGTCTGTTCATTTTCAGTAGAGATGCACTTTTTAAAAATAGTTTCAATCTATAATTGCTGGAATCCATGGATGCAGAACCCATGGATACAGAAGGCACACTGTATCTATAAACACATTAAAAGCCATTGAATTATACACTTTGAATGGATTGTATGAGATGCAAATTATATCTCAATAAGCTGTTACCCAAAAAAAAAGAAAAACTTCTTAAGGTGTTCTTCTGATAAGATCTATCAACCCAAGGCTACTTCTGTCAACACTCACTCACCTGGGTACTTCTGGTTTAGGAATTTGACTTCTAGGGACCATGGTTCTTCTCCTTGCTCCAACTTGAGGATAACCTTGGGTTTGGTAATGCAACACCCTGTAATAAAATAATTGAGGGCATAAATGGAACAGATTCATGAGCACTTGGATGGAAAAAGACACAGTTATAAAAGTATTAACTGAGAATATCCATCTGATGTTTTCCAAGGGAAGATAATGACAAAAACTCTTTCTGTTTCTGTAAACGCTTCAATTACATTAGACCTTTTAGTCCTAAGTCTATGAAGCCTTTAATCTCTATAAAGAATCTATGTGTCTTGATAATTAAAAAAAAAAAAAAGCAAACATGCTACAGAAGGAGTCCCACGGCAGGTCCGCTCACCCACTGCAACAAGGTGGCCGTAGTTCTCCAGCATCACATCCCTGTATAGGCTCCGGTCCCTGGGGCCCATCCTCCTCCATTCCTCCTGGGTGAGCTCCACGATCACATCCTCGAATGACACGGATCCCTTCAGCAACATATTTTGTTCAATGTCTCGGAATTAGGTGACACAGAAAATACCTGAGAACTTTTCCTGTTTACTTTTGAGGCTCAAAAACAGTTGGTTATAGAGGCTTATTTTGAACCAAATTTCATCTTAAAACTTGTCACTCAGCTAGTTTAAAAGGTTTCTAATTTACCATACTGCATCTATATACATTTATGAATTCAAGATATTTTTAAGACAGAAAAATTCAATGTAATTAAACCATCTACAACTCTTCATGCACATTCCTGGGATGATTCTATTCTCTAGGAAGTTCACACCCTCCTTTAACTTCATCCCTGTAATTACTGAGAGCCAAGGAAGAAATACATGTGAGCACTAGAGAGATAGCTGACCAAACTTATGTATAAGTAAATATATGAAAATAGAGAAATCTAGAGCTCATGAAGAACAAGGAACAGCTTACAAAGAAGTTGGAACCAATGAGACCATAGTAAGAAAACACTATGTACACTGAAGTAACAGCAATTGACATAAGAATAGGATATAATCACAGAGCAGAAGCAGAAACCATCTCATGATTATCGCTTGAGGTAGCAACCTAGTCTAGCTGTGTGAGAGGCCTCTCTCTCGGTTTTTTGTTTTATTTTGTTTTTAATTGACACAACGACAAATCTTTCAAATAAGATCTCACTTATATATGGAATTTAAGACAGTAAAATGCATATAAGTAAAGAAAGAATAGAATGGCAGTTACCCGAGTCTGGGGGAGAGGGGGAGAGGAATAAGAGATGTTGGTCAAAGGATACAAAGCTTCCATTAGACAAGAGGAACACATTTTCAAGATACTGTACAGAATAGAACTCTAGTTAATAGTAATATAATGTATGTTTCAAAATAATCAGCTTCTTGATGGTGTCAAAAACTGACAATTGAGAAACAAAAGGAAAAACATGTGACATGTTTGAGTGAGACATCTGTTCAGGTTGTTACAAAGGGGTGTGTGAGACATAAAGCTGGAATTGCCCTTTAAACCAATATACATGATTTCAGAACACAGAAGGCAAGTCTAGGATGAAAACAAACACTTAGGAATCATTAGCACTCTTAGCTGGTAACTGAAGTTATTAAAGACAATCAGACAGCTCCTTGAGCACACTGGGATTAAGGAAAAGTACCAAAACAAAAACACTTGAGGACTACATATATTAAAGAGGCAGGCAAAAGATGTACAGGCAAGAAGTCAGAGAAGGTTTCTGAAAAACAGTAATAAAATCCAGAGGATAAAGTCCAGAGGATAAAATCCAGAGGATAAACTAAGAAAACAGAAAGTTTCTATACCAAAAGACTTCAAATTCAAACTAACGAGTGATGTCAGCAAAAATACTGAAGTTGAAAAAATTCTCTCTTCCATAAAAGCAATGAGAAACTGGCAGCAATTACAGAATCAACTTTTTCTGAAAGCTAATCAAAGGCTTCAAGCAATCTATACAGGAATATTTATACAAAAAAATTATACAATATGCCTGTAATCCCAGAGGACTGCCTGAGCCCACAGGTTCAACAGCCTGGGCAACTTGGCAAAACCTCATCTCACAATAAACCAAAAACTTAGCTGGGCGTGGTGGCACACACCTGTAGTTTCAGCTACTAGGAAGGCTAAGATGGAAGGATCACCTGAGCCTAGCAGGTTGAGGCTGCAGTAGCTGTATCACTCCAGCATGTATGACAGAGTGAAACTTCAATTGAAAAAAAAATTGAAAATGTTTTTAATAAGCCTGCAACATTGGGAGAACCATAGTTCTGCATCATCTTAACTTGTCCTATTTTCATCCGTCTCTCTCCAGCTACACATTAGCTTTGAGAACCAATCATCTCAGATAAGAGCAAAAACCAGCAGCCTGGCAACCACTGGAGGAGCCAGAAGTGGGTTAGAGTTGTCAAAAGCCTGT